ACAATAATCATAAGGTCCAATATAGAACGACGAGACACGTATCGATGATAGAAACTAAATAAATTAATATTTTCAATGTTTATTGCACTCACTGTCAGATTGAATTGTATAATTCGAAGTTAACACTTATTCCTTACTATTGCAAGTACAAATAATGAGACAGTCCAAGTGCAGTTGTAGCCACCTACGCAACAATTCGACGATCCGTCAGTTGTCACTAACACTTCGTTTTTCGTAAATACTGACATCGAAGAAGAGTTATTATTAGGAAAGTTTACAACATTTTGAGGTGAAAGTGGCAGACGGAAACTATGTATAAATAAACTGTATACTTTATCTACGCTGCGAATTGACGTTCTTGTCTTCTGATCAAATCTACCACTAATAACATTATTCTAAGATGGATTTACTTTACTCGAAAGAGGAAAAAGTAGGTAAGACAGAATACCTTTTTATCTACCTCCAAACAGTTCAACTGGCTCAAGTTAACAAAAGTTAAAAAGCTGGGTGATTTTGACAGTAATATACAATTATAAATAAATATTAAAATAGGAATACAAGAAGAATCGTAACCAAAGAAGAGAGCCTCTGTATATATACTTACATCATATGCAAAATAACTTTTTCTCATTGAAATAACAAGTCTCTCTTATATCGTGATATTCTATGATTAATTTACACGTACCATAGTGATGAATTAATTTCTCTGATCTGTGTTTATTTTATTTACACTATGTATAACCTAAGCAGTTTTCAATGAACAATATTTATATCTAAATTGTGAATAATTATTTTTATATTATAAAATGAAATAATGAGAATGAGGTTTAAACAATATTTTGAACACTACATACCACATATGTACATACAGTGATATCTAAGTTTCTGCAAGACTCTCCGATCACAGCGCACTCCGTTAGCAAAAATAGGAGTAGAAATTGCATTGCTCTGATTGGCTGACGACTCAATATTAAGACAGGATTCTCTGCGGATTGGATACACAGTAAAACGGTGGGAATACTTGCAAAAACTAAGGGAGGTAGAAAAATCGTGTAAAATCTCAGGCTTTACACTGTATTCTACTCCCTTCCTATTCCTACACACATTTTTTAGGATATGTCCATACAAAAAGTATTGTATACTTATTAGTTTTGATTTAAAATACGTTTTGTAATTTACGTACAGTTCGCGTTCATTTGGATATTATGCACTATGAATGTTGAAGTAAAACAATATAGCAATCTTCAGAATATTTATTACAGAAGAACAATGAATGATAAAAGTAGATAATAACAATACATTATTAGCACAAATAAGGATGATTACACAAGAACAACGAATGATAAAAGGAGATAATAACGATACAGTATTGGCATACATGATTTTTAACTGCCACACACTGAGATTTAAATATTGTATATGACCTGCATCATATGACCATACATATACATCTACATTCCAAAAATACATATGTACATAATTGCAGCGAACCAATCATAGACTACATATGTGGTAAGGGATGAGAAGGATCACGTTTCACATATGTACATATGCACATTGTAAATTTGTAGATTTTGTAAGTTAAATATGTTTTATCTTAATATCATTTCTCAAGACTATATATTTTTATTTTTTCCACTTTATATACATTGAAAAGTAACAATCTTTTATCAACAAAAATAGATTGCTTTATGAACACATCGATCTACAAAAGAATTCAACATATGAATGTGTGTTTTGTATGTATATACGTATTTGTGTACATACAGTGATGTTCACCATTCTAGCTATCAATTTGTAAGTTTCCGAACGATTTCCAGGAGTTGGATGTTACGAAGTTGGTTCATTCTGTATCCAAAGTATATCATTGAAAGTACGTTGACGTTCTATTTCAATTAACAAAAGTATGTACTATTTTGCTATCTCTGACAATTCTTCTTATTAAATCAATGATCATTTTTATTTTAAAATGCATCGTGTATTACGTAATATCTATTTGAAACTCATAAAACTTTTTTCATTTAACTTGCCACAGTCGTCGATTGTGAAAAATCGACATTCCTTTATATTTACTAAATAATTAAAAACATATAATTTACTTACATCTATAGTATTCAAATTTTCAATATAAGGTTGATTTATTAATTAACCATAAATGCAATTGACATGATATTAACAGCACACTGTGTACTAAAATCATTTAATAAGAACAGAATAAATATTTATTGAATCGTTAGTATTTCATATTTCTCAAACATATTGTATAAAAGCATGTTTTCCTTGGTAAATCAATTGATATTTGCATTTACATACAATTAACATACATTTATGTAATCTTTTATAACAATATAACATTTCTTTATATTCATGTAGTGTGTTCATGTTTTAGATGTCGGAAGGACGTTTAGAAAAACCTCAGCTTCGTAATCTTCATATTACATATACTAGAAGGAGTTTGGGTCTAATGTTAGGTGGTACTATAATTTCTGGTATAATTTATAAATTAGCAGTTGCTGATCCACAAGCACGACAGATTGAAGAATTTTATAAGTAATAACAGTTTTATCAAGATTATAATAAAATAATTTTTCTCTTTCAGCTTCTTAACTGAA